GTCTGCTGCCACCTTCCTGTCGCAACCAACCACCGTGGAAGGTGGATGTGTGCGTGTGTTGCTATGTGTTTAGGTGTGTGTTGGCGTATTGTGTTGTATGTGTGTTTTGTCTAGCCAGAAAACCAAGAAAGCCACCGCCACCACCGTGAGGTGGTGGCTGCCGCCATGTACCACCGCTGGCCACCACTAGGGTGGCTGTGTGTGTGTGTGTGTGTTTATTTTTGGATTAAAGCATTGTAATTGTAAATAGCAAAAGAATAATGAAAAGAAACTCAAAACCACCACCGTAAGGTGGTGGCCGTCGCCGTGGGCCGCCGTTGACCACCACTACCCGATGTGGTAGTGGGTGGTGCCCGACTAGCAAAACCCTAATTAACCTAAGGAAACCCTAATGGGCTTAAGGATTTAGTTTTGGGCCTATTGGGCTATGATTGGGTGGGAAACCCTAATTAGGGTTTAGAAAACCCTAATTTTGGATATATGGGCCTTGGACTTATTGGGACCCACATTTGGGCCATTGGAATGAAATTGTGAATTACACCCAATCACACCATATGATTTATCTAGTAGTGTGATGGACTTAATGGATTAAGTACGTAATGGGTTAAGTGAGAAACACTTAACCCTAGTTGTCATTTTATGTGAAACCCTAATTTCACTTGGGCCTTGAATTGGGATTTTCTATTGGGTTTTAGTAAATAGGCCAATAATGGGCCATCCAAGAATGATCATATGGACTAGAATATTTAGATGGGCTTTAGGGTAAGGCCCATATGAGGGTTTGTGCCCAATTTGGAAAATTAGGCCATAGTTTGGGCCTTGATGGTTATATGATATTGGGCCATTAGAATGCCAAATGTTTGGACTGGACTAAATGGTTGGGCCTTAAGGCAATACCATGTAGAGGTTTGGGCCCAATTTGGAAAATTGGGCCATAGTTGGGCCTTGGTTCATTATTGGACTTTTGGGCCTTTGGATTGGGCCTTGAGCTTGAGTAAAGCTAAGTTAGGGATAAAGTAGTCTTTTACCCCAAGCATGGACTTATGGATATGTGTTGGGGACCCAATTATTAAATGGATATTATTTTGATGTTGATAGATTCAGGAATTTGTCATCCAGCAGCTAGGGTTTTGTCAGCGGGACTTCAGCAGTGTGAGGTGAGTCTTCTCCTATAGGAACGAGTCTAAGGCACCAACGTCGGCCCGTTTATGTGTGATAGTATATGTCGGGGTTAGCCCGATGTAGATGGTATGTTTTCGGACTTCGGTCCGATGCCGGGGCAAGCCCGAGGAATGTTAGTATGCTTGATGTCTTTGTGATTCTTGCATGTGTTTGTCTATGTGTTCCGGACTTCGGTCCAATGTCGGGGCGAGCCCGAGGAATGTTTAGCTTATATGTTATGTGTTATGTGTTCCGGACTTCGGTCCGATGCCGGGGCAAGCCCGGGGGATGTTTAGCTTTTATGTGATTATGTTATGCTTGTTGATATGCTATATATATTGGACTTTGGTCCGATGCCGGGCGGGGACCGATGCAGTGGGCTAGGCCCAAGTTATGTCGGACTTCGGTCTGATGCCGGGCGGGGCCCGATGCGGTGGGCAAGGCCCAAGTTTTGCCAGACTTCGGTCCGATGTCGGGCGGGGCCCGATGCAGTGGGCTAGGCCCAGTATGTGATTTTGTGTGTAGTATGTGGTAGCTTGGGGAGACTCACTAAGCTTCGTGCTTATAGTTTTCAGTTTTGGTTTCAGGTACTTCGGTTTCAAAGGAGGAGCTCGGGATGATTGCAGTGCACACACCATTTGTTCAGCCTTGGATGTTTTCACTCTGATATTTTGACACATGATTTTGATACGTCTGCCACCGACCGAGCTCCTACGTGGCATGTCATTGATTGAAGCTTCAACTTGTGTAAAATTTTTGCTGAAAAGGTGTTCCAGTCGTTCTCTATCGTCCCTCTCTGTTAACTCCTTCCAAACTTCAAGTTCTTCGGCCTCACAAACAGGTATATCAAGTTTTGTTTTTTATTATGATTTTAGATTAGATAATGGATTTTGTTCTTGATTTGGACTTTTTAACGATTTCCCGATTTTAAATTTTGGGTTTTGTTATGATTTTGATTTGCATCTGGGGATTCGTTTTGTTCCGATTTTGATTCCGATTTTTGCATCCGCGAATTCGTTTTCTTCCATATATGTTGCACATACTTTGTTTTTTGCATCTAGGTTTCTTTGATTTGGATAGTATTCATTTTTTCCATCTGTATTCTTTGACCTCTAAAGGAAAAAATAAGAATCAAGCTTCATTTTACAATATGAATCGTTGAATGCTTTGATTTTTATTTTGCAGATTAAGTAAAGAATTTGGTATCCGATTTGTGTTCTCGTTCAAGAACCCATATTAACGATTGGTTTATGATTTGCGATTTCTGGAACTACTGACTGGAGACCGATGTTACAGGTTTGTTTCATCTGACCTGGAGACGGATTTTTGGGTGGGTGTTTATTTCTAGTTTCCGGTTATGATTGCCGATTTTGAGGAAGTGTTAGACGAGGTCATTACTAGAGGAAGGGTTGAGATTAGGTGGTGTGGGTTGTAGAGCACAATGGATTCCATGAACTCCATTTGGTGAACCTGTCATGTCGATCTCCATCTGATTACTTTCTTTGTGTTGTGTGTGATTGTTCTCTATTTCATGTCCTGCAACATCAATCTAGATTTTGTTGGTGGTGGTGAAGGGTGATGGTGGTGGTGGTGGTGGGAGGTCGGTTAGAGGAAGATGAATGGTGGTGGTTGTGATTCCAAAAGAATAAAGACAAAATGATAATTAATGACACATCGAAATATTTGATTTTTTAAATTTTAAAATATTCAAAAAAAGCCACCTAAGCAAACCGGTGAAACCGTCTAATTTTGTGAAAATGGTGTAATTAGAAAGTAAAAATGAAGTTTAGTGGTCTAATGTACAAAAAAAAACAATAAAAAAAATAAATAAATAAAAAAATAAAAAACTTTAGTGATCAAATTAGACAATTGTCAAAACTTTGATGTGCTAGACTCTCATTTTCACATACAAATAAATAAAGATTGTAAAAGTAATATTTCATATATTTTCACCATTGTACTATCATAATCTTTCACATTTTTATTTTTCGACATATTTGTGTATTGTATTATTATATTTTTTTTCTTATGTTTTACCAATATAATTTGATTTTCTAAGTTGTCAATCCGTGTAATACACGGATCTGTAACATAGTATTTTAATAAACAAACACTTATTCTTTTCACAATGGATTCATTGCAAAACCACTTTATATAAGGAAATTATTTTTTGAATGGTCTTCACCACAAAAATATTTAAAAGAAATTGACAAAATTTATATAGGGCGTGTTCGGCATGGAGCGTTTAGAAGCGTTTGAGAGCTTCTAGCTTCTAGCATTTGACAAAACGCTCCGTTTTGAACAGAAAGCTTTGTTTGGCACTACAAGCTTCTAACGTTTAGTTTAAACAAAACGTTCCAAATCCAAAAGCTACTTCATGTAGCGTTTAACAAAACGCTACAAGCTACAAGCTACCCGCTAGTTTTGCCGAAAACGCGCATAATGCTAGAAGACATGTCATTTATTGTGATTATTTGTGAAATTATAATATATCACGCAATATATGATTTTCATTAAAAAAAAATTCTTTTATGTTTCTTTGTGGTAAGGACTATTTAAACTTTAAAGGCCACTTCCTAGCATAAAATGGTTTTGCAACCGGCCTATTGCGAAATACATGGTTATTTATTTATTTATTTGCTATTTTGTTAAAAATACTCCACCTATTTTGGTTAATTTTCTGTGAGTGAGAGTTCAGCTTTAGATATTAGTCACCAGAGACTCATGTATTACATGAATTAATTTTAAAAAAAAGTTAAATATAAATGTCAAAATATTTAAGAACTTTGAATTTATAAGAAAATAAGAAAAATAATGAATTATTATAATGAAAATGTTTTTTTTATCTTTTAAATTTAAACAAACAATTTAAATAAATAAAAGAAACTAACGGGCTTTAATTTTGAGAATTTTGAAATTAAAAGGTAAATTCATTAATAAAATTGATATCAATTTATTACTACATTTATTACAATTATTACATTAAAATATTATGTAAAATTTGATAAAATAGAAAAACTTATAAAATGTAATGTGGAAAAAAATTAATTCAAAATAATCACAAAATGACATTTGTCAAATTGAATGAGAATGTGACAAAAGAGCAAAAAAAACCTTCATTTATTAGAGATGATTTATAATAATGTTTACCTTAGAATATATTTGAGAGAATGACAACAAATATTAGAAAGTCAAAGAAAAACAGTAAACCCAAATGTAAGAAGCCAGGACTTAATAAGATACACGTCATCTCTATAACTGGTTATTAAGTCATTCTTTTCTTCATTACACAATACAAACATTTATATATATCTACCTCTTCTAATAAATGAAACCTAAAAATGACACGTGTTAGTTTTTTAGAATGTCTCTCTGACACGTGACATTTTTCTATGATTTTTATTGTTTTCTTTTTTTGATAACAAATCAAATTCCTTTTTTGGTAACAAATCAAATTCAATTCAAATTTTGAAAATACAAAATCATATCCTAATAACATTATTATGTTTATTTTGCTTAACAAATTAATTCATAATTACTTACAATCGATAAGATCTTGGTTTTTTTGATATTTATTATTTTTTTATCTATATAAAAATTTTAGATATACCGACCGTGGTTTCCACGGGTTATAACCTAGTATATATATATATATATATATATATATATATATATATATATATATATATATATATATATATAGTTTACCAGATTAAATCATTTTCCCACTTCTCACTTTTCACATAATGATGATCAGTTTGCTACATAAAACCAAGTATTATAATTCAAAATGTCAACATGTTAGTGTTTATTCATTCTTAACTTTTGAATAAACAAACTACTTAATAACATAGCTTTTGGTATTAAGTAAAAAAGAAACATATTCATATATAATATAGCTTACCAAATTAAGTCATATTTGTTTTCATGCTGAACCTTACAGACCTAAATCTGGTGTGTATTGTGTAGTCTTTTTGTCTTGTAGAAAACATAAGCTAATAAAATTGGGATTGAAAAACTATAAAATGGAAAATGCACCACTGGATTCATCTCATAAGCTTTCATAAGAGCCCAACAACTCTGCATCCATAAAATTTATAAAAAAAAAAGTGTAAGTTTAATAACAAGATGAAAATACATTACTATAATAAACAAATGAACTATGTAAATAACACTTACCTTAAAATGCTTCCAACAAATCGCCAAAGAGAGAATCAAAAGTATACTTCGACTCCATTTCCTCAACTTCTCTAAAACAAAACCACTTAATTTATTTCTTGAATTTAATCTTCCATAATTACCCTCATAATCATCTCTTTTCTTTCCCGAAATTGAACAAACATGATCTTGATAAATCGCCCTTTCAGCAGCCACACCCAAAATTATAAAAAAAGAAGGTAACACCACAAAATATAAATGAGGAATCACAATCACCATTACATCTGGAAACCCAATAAACTCCAATTTTTTTAAATCTTTAAAATCCACCACCCATCCTTTATATGTCATATACCCCCTCTCACCACCTTCAGTAAAAACTTGACCTAAAAGCCATGGACATAGTAAAAGGTACAACAAATACGCCAACATTGATTTCCACAAAAACTGGATGTTATGCACCTCGGTGAAAACCCATGTCAAAAGACTAAAAAGCCCTTTATTCGCCTTGTAAAAAAGATAAGTGTATTGCCTTTTCCACAAAAGGGTAATGAATTTTGGTAGAACAAGAACCATGAACATGAGAAGGTAAAAAGACCAAAAAATCGGGTAGTATAATCCCTCCCATTGACACCCCATGACAAAAAACTCCTTCCATGTCCATGAAAGATTAGCACGAAAACCGTTTAATGAAAAAGGGATCAAATTTGATGAAATTGTTAAATCATTGATGTCAATTGCTTCAATTTGTAGCCAATATCGTGTAGGATTTGGATCAATGAAAGGTTTTGAATTCCATGGGGACGTGTATATATGATCTCCATTTTCACTCATGGGTGTTTCAAGAACCATGTAAAGATCCCCATGGGTAGAATCGTAAATTTTCGCGGTAATTTTTTTTATTACATTTGAAGAAAAAACCAAAGCTTTGATGTGTGAGTGTGACGTGTCATCTAATGATTGGCATTTGTATTTGTTCAAAATGGTTGTTGATAAATATCGCGAATCTAATGGAAATGTAGGCAATATCAAGATTTCTTTAACTGCATTCTTGAAATTAATATCCATGAATGAAATATGCCCTTGATCGATTGCCATGATACGCACAGATCGGCTTTTCCTCCAATCGCCCATTTCCATTTCCCAAAATTCGTTGACTTTTTGACTTTCATTTGGGCAAATTGTGCTACTTGATTGAGTCTTTTCATGGATATTGAGTTGGAAAAGGTTGTAGGAGTTTATTTCATGGTGTCGTTTTAAATTGTTACCAAATCTTGTGTGGAGATGGCCACAAAGGTAAGCGGATATGGAATGGTTGAGGAATATGTGTTTGAGGGTATTTTTGGAATTTGTGGATGCGGAGAATGAAAGAGGGAAATGGCCAAGGGCGATTTTGGTTAATGGTTTTGCTGACGTGGCGTCATGTTGTGAGAGATGAGAGTTTAATTCGGTTAACAGTTGGTCGGTTGGATGGCCGAATACATTTGTGGGCCCGCGTAAGCCTGTGGATGTTGTGCTGTCGAATGAAACAAATAGAAGATCTCGTGGGCCCATCTGAAAAAAAAATATTTTAAATAATTATTTGATTCTGATTCTTGAAGTCGTAATAATCACTTTGAAAATGCAGAAAGAACAACTTAATAGATTAAGTCCCAAGTTTTTAACAATTTGCCCTCATATATTGAATAAGATATTGAATTATAAATGTATGATAAAATGGAGGTTGAAAAAGAAAAGTAACCTGCAGAGTAACACTATTGACAGATTGAGTTCTTCCCAATTGGCCAGTGATGCTATATTTTGAAAAATAATCATATGAATCACCTGTTGTGGGAACACCAAAATTATCATGATTTCCCCTAAGATCATAGAAGATGCTCTTATCAAGGCCACTCTTGTTGATAACATTTTCCATTGTATTTTGGTATTCAATCCACTCTTCTTCATTCTGCTTCATTGTCAATAGATCCTTGCTTTTACCATCTGGTAAGAATTACATGATTATGATTTAGAAAAACAGAACCCATTATCTTAGGGGATGTTTAGATGTGCTACAAAACCAATTCTGATTATGATTTCTTTTAAGGCCAAAATGATTATATTTTATGGGACAGGTTAGGAGTTGCTGCAAGAAAGCTAAATTTTAGAGCAAATGTAACATTAGGTATCTCTATCTTTAATCAAATGATTATATATTTGATTATTGAAATAAAGATGATCACTTTGAAAACACAGTTAGGTTTAGATGTGAATTCCGAAGTGATGATATGATTAGTTTTTAGTGTTTGGGTAACCTAATTGTACTTAGGTCATTGAAAGTAAAGCAAAATTACTCATGTGCTGTTATTCTATCTATTATCTCCTTGTATAATCAGAAATTTTCAAACTCAATATCCTACAAAGCAGTGATTATTATCAAATCCTGATAATTGCATAAAACGTCATCAAAATCAACTCTTCACCAAATCCGAACATATAACCAAAGAACAAAAAAGAAATTAAATTAAGTTATGTTCGGAAAATATGGCATCAGATTAATTCCAAAGATGTAGTAAAATTCAAGAAAAGAATACCAGTGAGATCGCCAGTGATGAAAACCAACGAAGGATTGATCATGGATAGAGTTGAACCCATAAATTTCTGGAACTCAGAAGCTCTCTCAGGACGATGAACACTAAAATGAAGATCAGAGAGCTGAACGATCCACACCACATCATGCTCACCCTTTACTTCTACTATCTCTCCGTTCTTTACATTGCTATTACTGTCGCTACTATTACAATTCTTACACAAGAACAAAAGGATCAATAACAAGGTAATGTTGATGCCCATTTCGTCAATTTTTTGTTGTATTATCCTCCCCGGCGGAGAAACACTCCCTTCAAGGGTTTCGTGGTGATGTTTTGGGGATTCACTTGGCCCCTAGAGCGCAATCACACAAGTCGTGCCTTTTCCTATTAGTGATGATCATGTTGTTCTGTAAAACCGATAACACATACAATCTGTTTTATATTTGGGTAAATTTTCGGTGTTTGATTCCAACTTTCGGGTTTATGTGTTTCTCAGTTAGGACTAGGGCTTTTTTTTTCTCTTAAAAAAATAATAATAAATAATTAGAAACATAAGCTTGTTTCTTATTGATAAACAATTAGACTAATTTTATTTATTATTATTTAATATTAAGGTAAAATTAGAGTATCAAAATAATGATTAATTTCACAGATAATATCTACGAAAAGGCTATCTTGGAGAAAAAACAAATAAGTTTTCAAATTAATCTGAGGATTTTGTTATCTAAGAAATGTCGAAATCTTCTGCCAAAAAAAAAAAAATGATAAATCTCATTTTTTGTCATTTTCACATGTTAAAAGTACAATATCAATTTTCTTTGCTATGAAAATAGTTTTTGAAAATAGTAACTAAGATGCATTCTCAGATTTACAATAATTAAATAATTTTACTTAATACAAAAAAATAAATAAATAAATAAATAACTTTTTTTTACTAGAACATTAAGATTTCGTATTTTGCATATAGTTTTGTAGGTCAGACATGCGGGATTATCTAGAATTTTTTTGATCATTTCCGCATGTCACAACTACAATATTAAAGGAACATAAGCTACAAATGTGACTTTTCGTCATAGGACGACTTCTATTTTTTAGGGATTTAGTACGGCCCAACTTTATGATAATTTGTGTCTAACACTTTTTGTGAATGGCTGCTGTATAACAGTTTGTATAATATTTATTTGAGTTGATTGGCTTCTCAACTTTGTGCAACAACAAACTAAAAATTCAAACGTAAAACCAATTATAGTAACATACTTAGTAAATAACATTTATATTAACATATGTGTACAAATTCGATTTTATTTTAACTTAATAATTAAAATACATACATATATTTCAAGGTACGCACGTTCTATTTATGTATTTTAATTTAATTGTCATTGTTTAGAAATACTAATTTGGAATGGTAAAAAAATGACCTTTAATAACGATCTCGCAAATGCAAGTAAAAACACTTCGCATGTAATGAATGTGAAATGGTAAAAAAACAACTTTTTCGCATGTGGAAGGTAGTGTTTGTTTTTTGTCTGCAGATCTGTGTGACTTTTTCTGTCTGCGCCGCGCAGACCACGCGCAGACATTAGTCTTCGCAGACTGTTTGTTTTTTTGAAGACTGCAGACCTAAAAATGTTTGCGCGCCCTCTTCTTGGCGCAGATGTGAATCAGAGTCTTCTAACATCTTCAGACATCTTCTAGCCTAAAAAAACATATATATATCTTTATTTTTTTTAAGTTTTTTTCTAGTTTATTTTTTTTCCAACTTTATTAATGATAAACAATTTGAAAAAAAATTACAATACTTAAAAAAAAAACGTTCGACGATACAAACATGATATTTTTGACAAATTTATAAATAAAGATTTATTACAGTAATAGTCGTTGAAGTTGTTTATATAAATATGAAAAAAATCATAATATATTCTTATATTTTTTTGCCAAATTTTGTAAAACATTATTTAATACAGTATCGTTAATTTATCGAGAAAATATTTATGGTACGTTTTTAATGGATTTAATTGAAAAAATCGAAGTTTATTTCCATTCATTTATGTATCAAATTCTTTGATCACTAGTTATAATGTTTAGTTATAACTTTGCAACCAAAGTTGTTGATTTTTATCAAATATATACGTTAATTCATACCATTTTTATTTTTATTTTTTATACAATAATACATTTGATCTAGATTCATTAATTATTTATAACAAAGTCATAAAAATATTAAAAAAATCACTTTGAAGTTTAAAAAAATCAGTTTATTTAGATTTCAGTTTATTTTAGTAGCCCGCAGATGTTAAAAAAACAAACAGTATTCTTTTTTCAGACTGCAGACGTTTGGTCCACCTCTTCTACTGCAGAGGTCTACAGATGTGGTCCGCAGACTGCAGACATTTTACCTCAGAAAAAACAAACAGCACCGAAGTTACCATTTCGTAGATGACATCTACAAATGACCTATTTTTTATTTTAAAAAACAATAAATTCTTTGGTGAGACCACTTTTCGTAGACAGCAAGCCAATTGCACATGTGAGCAGGACTATTTACTATTTGGATAAAACCGAATTGTCCAATTGGACATTTGAATTGGACTATTTGGTTTGGATAATCGAATCTTTGGATTGGTTTTCAACAAAACCTAATTATTATTTTAGGTTTTTGATTGGTTTTGGTTTATAAAATAAGAACCAAATAGTCCAAAAAAACTGAATAAATATTTATTATTTATTTATTTATAATATATATATCTATAGTTATTTATTAATTTTGTAATTTATTTTTTCAAATAGGTTCAAAACGTTTCACCCGATAAAAAAATATTAATATGCATTTTCTCTAAAAAGTTTTCTATCTATAAAATATTAATATGCATTTTCTCTAAAAAGTTTTCTATCTATAATATATCTTCTTATTAATTGTTTATAAATTTTAAATCACAACTAAATAATATGTTTTCGCTTCTTGTATAAAGTTGAGTAATATTATAATTGTATGTCGTTTTAAAATGTTTCGGTTTTTGATAACCGAATTATAAAAACCGATCCAACCGAATTGTAATTTGATCGGATCGGATCGGATTTGATTTTGGTTTGGACTATTCGGACCCATGTTTTGAAAACCGAAATCAATTTGGATTCACTTGATTGGATCGGATCAAACCGATCCATCCAAACGAACACGCGTACATGTGAGACATGCAAAATTTTTGGCTATTTATGATATATCATCCTAATTTTTGGAAATTTTTTATTTTGATTAGTCATTTTTTTTCTCATATACTAATATGCTTGGTGTATTAAAAGGAACAAAATATTAAAACAATGAAAAAGCTCTATGTGGAGCTTGTATAATTTGAAAAAACTTATTGATTAATAAAAATCTCTCTAAGAACCAAAATTGCTTTTCCATCAACTTATGTATGAGGCATGGCGACGCACCAATACTACTTGTATCATTTTATTATTGCTTATATAAATTGCATATTTACAGTTTGTTGAAAATCTATAAAGACACACCACAATCATTGAAAAACTCATGGTTAAAACTTATGATCTACAAGATATTAGAGAAACTTTGGATTAAATAAGCTTCCACGAATTTTTAAGAACTTTTTTTTTACTTGGTATAGTAAATTTTCTACAATGACTTTCAAGATGGCGCCACAACTGGTCACATAGTACACATGCATATTAGAACAAAAAACACAACAGATCCTTTGATTTTGCATATGATACAAAGATCATTGTTCAAAAACATCATTTTCAACCAAGACTAACATGTTTGGTGAGATAACTACAGAGAAAAAAATCAACTCAATGATAATATCATTAAATTCATTATCCATAGCACCAGTGTAATGAATGATAATATGATATGCAGCCACAACAGCACTTATTTAAGCAACAGAGATACACAAACATATATCTGACACAAATTAATCATTCAAGTAATACTAAAGTAATTTCCGATTAATTGGAATTATGCAAAATGGTGTAACAAATCCAGCAGATGATCTGATATCTGAACTAGAGATTTTGCATGAGAATTCAAAAAAAAAAAAACAAACAAAATAGTTGCTGATGACATCACATACTCTATCTCTCCTTATTTAGCCTGAGGATGAGATGAAATGAGTTCAACAGCATGAGTAATGGTGCTAATTTTGTCTGCATCACTGTCAGGAATCTCAAATCCAAACTCTTCTTCAAGTGCCATCACAATTTCAACTGTATCTAAACTGTCTAACCCAAGATCATTTTGGAAATGGGCAGTTGGTGTAACCTGCAAAAAAAAACATTATTGGTTCAAATTTGTAAAAGATATATGAAAAGTAAAAGCATCCCACCTTCGAGTGATGACAAGATAAGAAGCAGCTTTAAAAAATGATAAAATCAGAGGTCAAAGAAAAAGTTTAAATACAGCTAGTGATTGTACAATGTTATTATCAGTTTATCACTATGTCATCTCATCAAGTCGTAGTATCATAACATTCCTACTGGCTACTAGATGAATATTTCTAAAAAGTAGCAATAAAATAGAAAACACAAGTGAAGAGGGGAGTGGAAGGGAACAGTTGCAGCAATTTTGTTGTATGATTTGTGTTTATTTGTACAACAAGATGTTTAGTTTATTCAAACAACACTAATAAAATTGCTTGGAGAAGGTTATATAACACCCCCAACCTAAAGTAGTAGAATGGGCTCTAAAACTCATCAATTTAAAGCCATGGATTAAAGTTCATACACTTTGACCACTCATGCTTTTACTTTTCTTAAAGCTTAACAATCCATCAATCACATACCAACTATTGGTCTTAACAAGCCCACATATCTGGCAATAGATCAGTTAAACTCGAATCTATATGGCTATATATCAGGTCTAGTTATTAGAACCCCTTTAAATTCTTTCTGCAAATGTTTGTAAGGAATGAGCTACTTAACTGTAAGTTAGGAATTAATTGGACTAATACATTGACATAACAAACTCGCACTTTCTTATCTTAAGATAAGGATTACATTGCTGGTTGATCTATACACCTATCAAGAATTTTTCATTTCTACATATATTTTTTCAATTTAATATAAAACAACCCAGTAAGGATAGCAAATCTTGCAAATTTCATTTGGAATGGGTAAATCCAGGCATATAGAGATTGGTATATGGGTCCTGACAAAGTCTCGCAATCTTAATCATGATATCAATAGAAACCCTAATCTAAAAAATATTGTTTCTCGGATATACAAGCACCCATACAAGTCTTTTATTTACCTTGGAAGGATCAACTTTCTGGAAATTTTTAACGCAAGTAACCACTCGATCAGTGACCTCAGATTTGTCGAGGAAAGATCCTCTGACTTCCTCGGAGAAATGGCGCCTGAACAGCTGAATTACTCCTCCTCCAATTACTCTAGGGTTTTGAACAACGGGTGTCACATTCACACGCAGGTACTTGAGGAGTGCATTTCTCGCCGCCATGGATAAAACCTAGCTCAGCGATCAGAGAGAGAGAGAGAGAGAGAGAGAAAATGTGTGCGAGTGTGTGTAGCACCTTCTTGCTCGGTCTGGCTGTTTAGGGGTTTACGCTTATAGCTGAATGTGAAGTTCTTGAACTTCCCCTTGGATTTTGTTTATGGTCACTATCGACCCCTATACTCTTATATTGACTCTATTTAGTATAGCTCTTATGTAATAAGGCGACCAAATAAGGGAAAGTTCATCACATGGGTAGAAAAAAATGACCAAGAAAAATTCAGTTTCATTAAATTGATCAAGATTTTTGTAGTGACCTTCTCTCCCAAAGTCGTTTAGTCTCTACGGAAGGACAATTTATTTGAGGAATGACGTTTTAGGGGTATAATTGTAAAATTACATGAAAAAAAAACAAAAAAGGGAGCAGATTTGTGGATTCGACATTGGTGCTCTGCGGAGGAGATGGTGATGGAACTCAGATAATTTCACCATCACTTTCCCCTCTTTGAAACCCTATATTTTTTTAGTTAAAATCGTAGAAACATAGATTTTTAGTTATAATTTGTATATTCAATGAATGGTATGTGCGAAATAGGTTAAACCTCGTTAAATTAACAATGAAAAAGTTAGCAAAGTCGCTGGAAATTTTGTCTTTGTGAAGAACTAATCCGCAGAGGCTTCCTATATCAAAAACAGATCTGCAGAGACCTGCACCATTTCTGTAGAGACCACCTCTGAGGAAACGTCAAACGTAAATAATTGCTCAACTAGCATTTCCGTAGAGCATTCAAAATTTCGCAGAGACTGTACCAATTCCGTAGAGACTATCTATGCGGAACCATCCCTTCGGACGTTAGTTTTTGTCTTGCACGCCTATCCAATTCCTCATAGGGGCAGTTGTTCTGCAGAGACCCTCTCTGTTGAAATCGTGGTCCTTTTATGAAAGTTCAATTTCTTTGGTCATTTTTTTCGACCATATCTCGTTTTTTGGTTATTCCATGAATTTTCCCACCAAGTATTAGAGTTCCATATGGTTGTGTCTCTTTAACACTAAATAATGTCAGAGTTTCATTTGGTTGTGTCTCTTAAGCTAGGGGCCATAAACGAACTAAATGTTCGAAGAACTATTTGTGACTCGTTCACATCACGTTCTTTTATGTTCGTTTATTTAATAAAAAAATAAACACGGAAAAGATTTTTTGTTTGTTCGGCTAAACAAACAAACAAACGTGATAATTGTCTTGTTCGTTTACTTACGCTCATAAACATTTATTTATGTCTGTTTGTTAATGTTTATTTATGTTTGTTTATGGTATTATATATGTTGATCTTCCATAATGTTTAAAGATTGAGATGGCCTTTAACATAACATCATGCAATCATTTGCTATTTATCATTATTTTAATTGTTAGTATGATGTTAGTGTCAATAAATGACTTAATAATAGATGGTGAATTTATATGGGACGAGCCTAAGGCGTGGAACTTTTCAAGTTTGACTTTTTCGTGAAACTTTTTGGAGGAAAATGATATTTAGACTTTATTTTTTTTAGTTATTTTTTGGATTTTTGGCTTACATTCTATGATTCACGTATAATTGTTTTATTTATGTATGATTTATTTTCGTTTATGTTCATTTATTTTTGTTTGTTTTCGTCTATTTATATTTATTTGTTTATGTTCATTTAACATCTTAATGAACAAACACAAACACGAATAAAGTATTCTTTAAACAAACAAACACAAACAAGAAAATATGTTTGTTTATATGTTCATGTCCGTTTGTTAGTTCGGTTAAACTTAAAAAAAACAAACATGAACGAGCCTTGTTCGTGTTTGTTTGTTTTGTTTAAGCCTTGTTCATGTTTGATTGGTTTGTTTAGACCTTGTTCATGTTTGTTTGGTTTGTTTATAACCTTATTTAAGACAAAACTTATGTGATAGGGCGATAAAGGGATCCAAACAAATGACATTTGGAGTTCCATAAGGTTACACCCGTTACAAAAAATTTAGATATAACAAAATAATAGTATATTGGATAACGAGATAAGTTTTGATAATTATGTTTTAAGGTGGGCGCTTACGAATAAGATCGATGACAAGTATCCCAAATTGTTCCATTTGTGTGTGATAAAATATTATAATGTTTTACATTATTCACATTTTCAATCTATTGAACATTGAAACATAATACAAGGTCGCATCGCCATCTCCAATGTACAAACAATTCTAACGAGTTATCCATATATAACTACACAAGTAATATCTAAAATTCGAGATCATAAAAAAGTGATTATGCAAAGGGTCTAGATGTCACAACCTTACGAAAACCAAACTAGCTATGGGGATGGACAAACTTACTTTGAGATTATTTGAAGACAATGTGGTCCTTTCCAAATACATACCATTCTTCCTTGTCATTTCATTGACACATCATTTTTTTAGTTATGTTGAGTTTTTTTTATAAAATGTACTCGTACAGCTTGAGTAGTTTTCAAGTTCATTTTTTATAAGTAACACCGAATTCTCTTATAAATTCATCGGATTAAGAATCAATTTCACAAAATCATTATTTACCTACAACTTTATTTGACATGTTCATTGAATTTCATGAACTCATCTCCATAACATTAATGCTCAACTCAAATTATTCTAAATTTTGGTTTAACATTATATGACATATTGGATCAAGACATCATCTCATGTGACTATAACTAATTATTTGATTATGGTGATTCAATTCCACACACATAAGCGCTCTTATTATCAGGCTAATAAAAAAAAATAACATTCAAACTAATTAGTTATAATCAATATATCCCTATAAGTAATTAGTTTGAATTGTTTATCAACTAATAACAAAAAAAAAAAATACAATACTTTCAATTTATACATAACAATTTAAAAAATCCACTCGATTATTGTGTATTTGTGTTCCATTATTTTTGTTAGCATCTTTTGTGGTGGTAAAAAGTCCAAACCATCGAGCCGGGCAACGGCGGTCAAAACGACCTTCCATTCGGTACTCTTTGGAGACACCGATTCATTCTAGACGAAGGTGGCACTGGCAGAATCCCTGCACTCCGACTGAACCTAAAACAATGCTGTCGATCGTCTTCTCTTCCGTGATTCTTGCTCTGCTTCTTACTTTTTCCCACAAATTTCTCACAGGCGATGGTAATTTCACTCTCCTGCTCCCCCTCCCCACTTATTCACCAACAGTTTCAGCTTTCGTTTTGTTGTTAAATACTTAAATTCACGATTACGAATTCCTTAGTTTGTGGTTGTTTCGCTAGGTGATTTCACATTGCTGTCAAAAGGAAAAGTAAAGCGCGAAAGTTTTCAAGATAAGGTATTCGAATCTTTACTTCGAAATTGTCTGTCTGAGCTGATCTGAGGATTTGAATGCGAAATGATTTGAATTGCATTATGAATTTAACATCACCAAATTTGTTAGAAATTGTTAATGTTGAAGTAAAGTATTAGAACTGATTGGCGGTTTAAAACTTGAAATTTAGCTGAATTACCATGAAATCGTAAGGGTTATGAGTTTATCCTCTTTTGCCTCGTCTGAAACTAGACTGCAACATTTTCCACCATTTTATATCTCATACTACTTTGAATGAATACAGGTTGTCTGGATTACTGGAGCAAGTCGGGGAATTGGTATGTAAAATCATAGCTTTTCATTCTTCTTACTGTTATTCCTTAAGTAGGATTCATATATCCATGAGTTCAACACATGTGTTGCAAACTCTACGAAGTAAAAGTTGTATTGATTTTCTTGCTTGAAGGTGAGGTTCTTGCTAAGCAACTTGCAACTCTAGGAGCTAAGTTAATTATTTCTGCAAGAAATGAGCCAGAATTGGAGAGAGTTAAAAACCAAATCTCTGGTAAATTCTATCACAACCTTAAAGGATTCTATGATAAAATTTCTGGTGTCGTTGTTTTCATGGTTTTAAGATATTTTCAGCTTTGAATTTAGGAAAACATGGACCTGAAGGGGTGGAGATATTACCTCTAGATTTGAGTTCTGGTGAAGATGCAATCAGAGAGGTTGTTGAAAAAGCCATATCTTTATTCGGTGGTGCAGGTGTAGATTATGTTATCCATAATGCAGCTTTTGAGCGACCTGTAAGTTAGCATTATATTTCTTTTATAGTATTAAAAATGCTAAAATGAAGCATAATATAATATCCTAATAAGTAATTACCAAATTACTGACTTTTGGTTCTTTGTTGCAGAAATCAACAGCACTTGATGTACCAGAAGCAAGTCTGAACGTATAACATATTGTTCTTTTGAAGTAAATTCATTTGAATTTATTAATTTAATATCTTTACTTTTTATTTTGTAGGCTACACTTGATGTAAATGTTGTGGGGCCGATTTCTCTTACACGATTACTACTCCCTCACATGTTGAAGAAAGGAAAAGGACACTTTGTTGTGGTATGTTGAGAAAAATTATTTCTATTTCTTGTAATTCATCTTACATTTTCTTTTTTCCACTTTATATAATTTACAGTTCCATTATATATATATATATATATATATATATATATATATATATATATATATATATATTTGTGCAGATGAGTAGTGCTGCAGGTAAGGCTCCTGCACCAGGTCAAGCAGTATATTCTGCTTCAAAATTTGCTTTAAATGGCTACTTTCATTCCTTGCGATCTGAGGTACAACAACTTTATATTAACTTTCTTTTTTTAAATAAAAAGTCAAAAAGTTTATAATTATGATAGTCATACTTTTCTTACTATTTCAGTTTTACCAAAAGGGAATCATGGTAACGGTTGTTTGCCCTGGGCCAATAGAGGCATCAAATGCACCTGCTACAAGCACAGCATCCAAGGAGGTTAGTTTCATATAACATACTTTACTCTTTAGACCAATATAGGCAATGTACTTTATAGGTAGCAAAATATAAGTGCATTGCTTTTATAGTATATTTTTAAAGAAATGAAAGTACATTGCTGTTATTGGTAGCATTGTTTAGTGTGTGTTTGTTATCAGAAACGAGTATCATCAGAGAGGTGTGCAGAGCTTGTATTAGTTGCTGTAAGCCATGGTTTGAAAGAAGCTTGGATTTCATATCAGGTAAGATATTGGTACATTGGTTTATATAAGTATTATTTTTAGTTTATATTTTTATTGAATGATTATTTATTATTTTTGGTTTACTTTTGCTTTTGCAGCCTGTGCTTGCTGTTATGTACCTAGTGCAGTACATGCCATCTGTTGGATTTTGGCTAATGGATAAGGTACTTTTTCATATTATTTTTGGTTGATTCCGAGGGATTTGGCTGGAATGGAATTCAATTCCATTCCCATCCTATGGTTGGTTGCAAATGAGTACAGAATTGAATTCCATATTGTGAACAAAATCTTTTGACGGATAAATTTCAACATTCCATCATAAAACTCATGGAATTCAATTCCCAGCACTTCCTCCTTGTTGAAATTACTCAAATACCCTGTTAACCCCTAACGGAATCTTCATTGATGTGAAATGACTTCAGATTGGGGCAAAACGGGTAGAAACAGCTGCAAAAAAGGGCAATACATACTCAATGAACCTACTCTTTGGTCGAAAGAAGGAATAACTGATATTGGATTAATAGTTTGGGCCTATGGTATTTGTATATTTTCATTTTAAATAAAATCTTTTGAGGCTTTGTTAAAAACGAAATGTGTTTTGATTATTTTTTTAAACAAGCATGATGAATAAAGCCTTAATACAAAAAAGACAAACCAAATCCTCTAGTTGTTTAGAGTCCCATTTATCGAAAAATTGGAATCTCAATTTTCTTTCTTGTGATGTATTTGGTTGCCCAATCAAACAAATTGAGTTGTTGCAAAATTCATGTATGCGTGATTTTATCATGTGGATGGTAAAAATTAAGGGAAAATGACGCAACGGCTCTATTATGTTTTGCGACTTTACGCATTTAGTCCTTAAAGTTATTTTCTTGCTTTCTAAGGAAACAAAGTTGATGTCAACCTATTTTTTTGGTCACTGCGACCTAATATACCAGGTTACATAAGCCACACAAACATTTAAAGCTGATGTGGCTTCACTCTTTATATGAGTTGTTATTTTTTTAGTTAAAAAAAAAAGAATAATAAAACTTGGGGTCCACCCATCTCTCTCTCTCTCTCTCTCTCTCTCTCTCTCTCTCTCTCTCTCTCTCTCTCTCTCTCTCTCATTTGCTGCAAGAAAGTGTGAGTAGTGATCTAGAAGTAGTACGTAATACTTGATATCACTAGTACTAGAAATAGGAGATTGCCATAAATCAGAATGAACAATTTTAAAAGGTTTAGAAACATTAGAAATAGAACTTGAAAAAGGTAATCGAACATGTTTTCCAAGATGACAAGCTTGGCAATTAATTGCACTAGCAGTTTTATTACATGGAATAAGATGAATGGAAATTAAATTCTTGAAAACACGAGCGCCAGGGTAACCAAGACGCTGATGCCATAAATGGTGGTAGAGATGAATGCAATAGGAGACCGAAAGGAGGAGGGTGTTGGATAAAGATCGCCAGAGCTGTCACACCCAAGCAGGACCTTGAGAGTGACTAGATCCTTCACAGAAAAACCAAAGGGGTAAAATTCAATAGAAACAAGATTGTCAGTTGTAAAACGACGCACATAAATGAGATTTTGTTGCGAAGAATCATGGCCATAGCCTGAAATTTCGGTGATAGGCCATTGAGCAGATATGAAACGAGATTGTGTTCGGGTACAGGATGTCCAAGGTTTGTAAGAAGGTTGGAGATGGTAGTGATAGTTTCATAGTATTGGATGATAGGTTGATCACCAAGAGTCAGGGAGCAGTTCGTTGTCGAGTTCGATGGAACGAGTTTCCTTGTTGTCACGAAAAAGATTCTCCAGGCTGAGCCATACCGAATTTGCTGTAGACCCAGTTTTAAGAATGGTGTTGATGAGGGACTGGGTAAGAGTGGCGTAGATCCAAGCTTTGATCACCGAATCCGAAGCATGCCAATCTTCATCATCAGCAGAGGTGGGTTTGGAAGTGCTAGAGATATGACCAAGGACACCGAAAGCTCGACAATGTATCTCAAATAATTCTGTCGGCGAGACACTTTTCGATGACACCACTGCCACTTTTCAGATGACCATGCCAATTTTCCGATGAGAGACCCCACACTCTTCCCTCTTCTTTATTCGAAGTTATAAACACAAATTCGCAGGTTTGTGAGCCAATCGAATCCCCACCCCTCACCCTTCCTTATGTCCGGTCACCGAAAAACCACATCCGACCACCACCACCATTAACCCCCGGTTACCATCACTTAGATACATAACCATATACAAACTAGATACATAACTAAAATAGATAGATCGTAAAAAATAAAACACATAGATCGCCAGAAAAACACAAATCGATGGAGAAACACCCTCAGATGGAAGGATATTTGGTTCTTCGGAGTGATTTGGTTCGTCGAACGGAGAACCATTGTTTGTCAGAAGGAAATCTAAAGGTTTTCCCGACGCACCACTCATTCACGTCGGAAGATCGGAGGCAAAAATCATTCTCGGGGCACCACTCTTTCATGTTCGAAGCTATAATGGTGGTGGCTGAACTTTCAGGGGGGGAGACGATAGTGGGTGGATGAGAGAGAAAGGTGAAATATCATGGCTTTAGAGATACAGTGATGGTCGTGAGTTTACAGATGTAGATCACCCGTCGTCGGCCGTGAGACGGCAGTGGAAGGTGGAGAAAGTTATGGTTCTTCATTGTGTGTTGAGAGGATATAGTGAAAGAACATGTATAAAATGGGTGGATGAGAGTTGGAATGGGATTAGATGGGATATAAGGTTGCTTATTCATTTTTTTAATAAAAAACTAGTTGTGATACCCATGTATTACATGAGTTTATTTTTTTTATTTTTTTTAAAGTTAAATATGAAGGTCTAGATATTTAAGAACTTTGAATTTATAAGAAAAACGAGAAAAATGTTGAATTATTAAAAACCAAAGTGTTTTTTTTTTCTCTTTTAAATTTAGACAAATAATTTAGATAAATAAATAAAGGAAATTAATGGGGCTTTAATTTAGAAATTAGAAGGTAAGTTCATTAATGAAATTGATATAAATTTATTATTATATTTATTTGCAATCATTACATTTAAATACTATGTGGAATTTAATAAAATTGAAAAAACCATAAAATGACATGTGGAAAAAAAATTAATTTAAAATAACCAACAAAATGACATGTGGTAAGATGAATGAGAATATAACATGTGACAAAAAGATCTTTATTTATTAGAGTAGATAAAAATAAATGATAAATAAATTAAAAAGAAAAACCGGTAAGGGTAATATAGTAATTTCATGTCTGATAGGGACCATAGACGCAACAAAATCAAAACATAGGAACTGTCCGAGTTAAAAAAAAATTGAGGGACCAAACGTGCAAATCACCCCAAACCACAGGGACGATCCTTGGAAATTACCCTAAATAAATAGTAAAGGAAAAGTAAGGGATAAGGGAGATGTGTTTAAAGAACAAGAAACGGTCAAAATCCCATTGGTTGCTTTCTCCCGTTAAGCTGCGTTTCCGTGGCAACGAGTTATGCCATAACTAGAAGCGGGGGCGGTGTTCCTCCCGTATTAACGGCGTTATGAAGGTGCCACGTAGGCTCCTCCACGTCGTTTTTGACCCACACAGTATAGTCTTATAACACCTTTCTAGTATTTTGTCTTAGTTATATAATTCCTGCTTTCTTAATAAAAAATCGATTTATGGCGTTAAACCCTTAAAAAAATGGTCACAAATTGGTAGATTGATATAAAGAATTCTACATTTTTCTATGATTATGCCTAAAAAGGCATAAAACATGCATTGTAAGGGCCGGCAACAGCAAAAATGATGGTATTAAGGGCTTTGAGTTTTTGTACACACATAGCAACTAACTACCAGCGAAATAAAGGCAAGAGTAGTTTACTAAAATGGTGCATGTGCTTTCTGCTTTTTACCATTTTTTTTTCCAATTTTTTTCCTTATTTCGTTTCATGTCACTTTTGATCCTTTGGACTTTCTAGTTCAGGGACTGAAATCGATACAAAACCTTGAAACAAAGACCAAAACTGAAAAGTGTCTTAGTTTTAGACTATCCATTGTAAAAATCAAAAAGCACAGGGACTATTTTTGTAATTTACTCTCTAAAAAACAAAAACAAAAACCAACATTTCTAAAAACATTCAAACCCACACCCCTCGAAAACAACTTAAACAAAAAAAAAAGTTATCATGCGGCTGACAAATACTCTTTAAGCAACTTCAAAACAGACTTTGACGCGAGTCTTTCGGCCATTTTCTTGTCTGTAGCCATGCAAGAATCTTTAAGGACAATATCGTCTTTTACTATCTCTATGGTGAAAGAGATGGTACCATCATCAGTAGTACCATGCTTGGCTGACTTTTTCATTTCAAAGTGATTTTTTTGACAAATATCATGCAACTCTTTCACTGGATGCAGTTTCAATGTCTCGGGTGTGACTAAGGGATCGAGAAGAGGCCTAATACTCTGAAAAACTTTATCTTTATCGTATCCAGAATCTACAAGAATCGCCCCAGCTAGAGACTCTATCACATCTCCAAGTACCTATTTACAATAATACCCCCAAACAAACAGTAAATTATATGCAAAAAAAAAAAGTAACATAAAGTTCTAAAACAATATTAGACAGTGTCGGATTGGTTAACAGCAATGTACTTTACTCTCCCTAACAGTATAGACAATGTACTTATTTTCCCCATAATAGCAACATACTTTATTCTCACTAACAATATGGACAATGTACTTTATTTTTACCCAAAATAGTTGTATACTTATATTTATTACTTATAATACAAACATACTTACTTTTCTTACAAATAATAGCAACATTACTTTATTTTTTACCAATGATATTAACTTACTTACATTTTGCTAATGTGCTTTATCTGCTGGTAATTGCTATTATCATTAAAGAATTATAAAAATGTATATATGTAAGTGCATTGCTATTGTGGGTTGCATAATGCTGCTATCAGTAAAAAATGTAAGTATGCTGAAATTATGATTTAAGAAATGCAAGTACATTGCCCATATGGGTAAAAAGAGTAAAGTACGTTGATATTTCACACTAATTGCCCAATGTTTTAAACATGTTAACTACAAAAGATCACTGACCTTAGGAAAACTGGTCTCAGACTCCCACCCGAAAGTAGTTTTTAAGGACAACTGGTCAAATTCATGAACAGTAGTGACAATAGCTCGATGAAGATCTTGAGATCCATGAAGAATATGTTTGTGTAGATCACATTTTACAGCAGATTGTGCATAACAATCATTATTCACAGAAGCTGACCTCAAATCAGTCAACATTCCAGGAGACATTCCTGGATATTTGTTATACAAATGCACGGTGATCATATAATCCAACACTGCATCCCCAAGAAACTCTAATCTCTGCACAAAATGTCAAAAAAAAAATGTAAGTAGAGTGCTAAAAGCCTAAAATAATAAGAAATAAAAGTAGGATGCTATTTTGGGAAGCAAACCTGGTAACATTTTGGAATCTCGGGTAGCATGTAGGACCCATGAGTCAGTGCTTCAACAAGTAAAGATACATCTCTAAATGAGTAATTTAGCAACGACTCAAAGTACTGAATGTTTACATATTTTTCTGGATGCAAAGTCAAGGCTCGTGTATACGGTGTGTTCACAAAGTCAACCGATATACCGAT